AAACAGACTACATACCCATCCGCTTCTCGGCCGTACCGACGCGACACAAAGGAATACATGGCGGTAAATTTCGGGACGGATTGACTTGCAGGAGTTTCCGGAAATATGTCAGTGTTGATAGCCAACCACCTTCGGGGCTCCACTTCAGATTTTCTGTCTAGATTTACTTACATCTTTGGATATGACTGCAAGACAGCGTAGGTTTAAAATCAGAGTTTTTCTTCCCCTAGCTGGACTGCCTTCCTTAGCTGATGAGTTACATCTATCCGAATTAGCTGGATATGAGGGTCCGAGTTTTCGCTTGAGTTCATTCTCCAGCTTGGATCTGGACTCAGTTGTAAGAGGCTATTTGAGAGGCACGTCTCGAAAGCTTTGTATTGACAGTAGATGCTTGTTCTGTCTATCACCACCTGGCTACGACAAACTTTGAAACATATATAATGTAGATATTTAAACATTATATACGTTACGTGTTTTAAAAGCCTCACCCCACCAAAAAAAAAGAAAGAAAAATCGCCATAAAGCAGTATAAATTGTTTTATTGTATGTTATTTAATAACAATACCACCCCCACCCGTATTTTTAATTGGTATGTAATGTTTCACAGTAGATATAAAAAATATTTACAAGTATTTACCCACCGTTCACTCGGTAGCTGGACATTAAATCATTTTTCTCTACCACCGGTAAAGCGGTGGTCAGGTCCCAAAGGGTTAAATTACGATTTATATTTTCATGTTTTTATTTCGGTTAACTTTATATAAATAAACAAATTTTCGAAACTTCTGTACAATTTCTTGTGTTTATATATGTAAATATTTCTGCTACACCAGTTTCTGGTCTCGTGACTCTCTTCTGGCAAATAAAAGAAATAGATTTTAATTATGTCCTTTTATTGTCTCATTGTTCGTTTTTTGTATTTGTTTCTTAACTTTTTCTTTGCTTTCTTGTCTTTTTGCTCACTTATTCTTTATTATATATTTAAAAAATATATATTTTTTAAACTTTCTAAAAAAACGTAATGTTTTCTTTAAGGTAGATCACATATTTAATAATTATCATGGACGTAGATCACATACACACATACACATACACAATCATTTTAATACGAACTTTAAGCAAAATGGCCTAAATGAATGACAAAAAAAGATGTCAGTTTAAATTAGTGGCTGGATGATACGGATGTCATATTTTTACAAAATCGCTAATATAAAATAATATAATATAAAATTGGAAATGAAATTAAATATGCCGAGGATACTCCATTGAAAATCAGGAAAACACAAACTTTAAGCAAAACCTTCAAAAAATTTTCAGATAAAGTATCAGTTGAAAGTGAAGTCAGGACAATAATATTTAAAGATGTATAAACTCTAATTATCCTTAGTAACTTCTTTACAATGTTGATCCCCTGCACAAGCCCCGAGAGGCACACGAAATAAATGGTTGCATATTAAGGGCCATAGATAATGAATATATGTGGAGAAGAAAACGGTTGAATGTAGACTTGAACAGACTTATATTCTAGTGATCAGAAATGCATCCACCTGGAAGTTGGTTCCACAAAGCAGTGGTTCATGGGAAACAGCTGCACGAGTGCAACTTACCTTTCACCAATGGAATAAGAAGGGAATTATGGTGACTCGCACAATGTGCATGAGATGACGAGTCATGACGTTGAGGGTTAAGGCTGGATGGGGCTAAGGAATGTAGTTCTTCCGAACATTTTCTATGTAAAAACGGATAGAGCAGCTAGAGGTTTAAGACGTTTCATCTTTGAGTAAGTGGTTGCAGGGTGCAAAATAATCCGTCATCCTCAAGGGCTAGGAGACAGTTTTGTACCCTATCGGTAGACCCTGTCCGTATATACATCATTGTGGCTCTGGCATATGATAGCAATAGGAGTCAGGTACTTACTGTAGCGGTACAGAGAAATGACAATTTTGCAAGCATCTTTAGCGATGGATCATATTTACGAGTTCCACTTGAGGTCTGGGTTGAGTTTAAGTCCTAAATGGCACCCAAGTCACGAGGCCTTCGGAAGATGGACAGAAGTTGTTGGTTCGATCGGCAATGACGGAACATTGCTAGTTTGGTTTTCGAGGCATTAGATGTGGTCAAGCCAGTATTTCCTCGCCTCACTGATCTGTTTCAGCTTAGTTATTCATTAAGAATTTTTTTCCAAAACCCATAATATGATTCTAATAAATGGAATTCGAAGAGGTTTCAAATTATGGTTTCTCTCCAAGATTTTCATCGATCGTCCAATGACTACCCCGCTTTGCTTGTCAATTCTCTTTTACGTCGGTGAGTATAAAAAACAGGGAAGGTTCCGTTACACGTTCACAATTAAAATAAAGATGAAAAAAAAATCTTTACATCGACAAATGATTAATCTAATTCTGTTTCCCATATATTAAATTGTTTTTTTGTTTATTTTATTCAAAGTTTATTTGCTCAGTCTGGGTGGATAGGTTATTGACACTTGAAACAGATTCTGCCTTGTCAGTTTAACAAATCATTCTTACGAGTTGATCATTTCACCATCACGATTCGTAGCTGCCAATAGGAATAAGCGGCATCGAAACTATCCGACGTCCGTCCTGTCAAGAGAAAACCTCTTCAATACCAATGGTGACTCCTAATGTAGAACAGAAGCCGGAAATCATTAATCTCCGGTTGTGTTGTCACTTAACCCCAAAAGTCTATTCTGATTTATTTATTTTTTCAGTTCATGCAAGTGGTTGGGGCTAAGAAATCTCGATTTTAAAAACCCCCGTCATTCCTAAAACAGAGACACTCAAGTTCAAGATAAAATCACCTTTCTCTTCTATGTGTGTATTCCGATAATAGTGTCACACAAAATAAATTGTGGAGACACATGATTGGATAGTCCCCCAAAACAAATACGTGTATTTGGCTAAATTACTTTCTCGACTGGTCAAAAAATAAAAAAGAAGAGGCATGAGAAAGATATTCAACTGGATAATATTTATAAAACATAATGATTAATTGAAATGAGTAAATTTAAATGCAAATCCGACAGTTTAGTAAACATATAACTCAGAAAATGTCAACTTTGACATGCTTCAGCGATGTATTTGATTGATTCGTTTTATAAGGCTTATCAATCATTTGAAAGTTATTTATAAACAGAAAATATATTATTTAGATTGTAAGAATTCTTTTAGAAAAAATAATGGTATAGTGATAGAAGTCTTACTACTTATCCCATAGCTGGTGGGAGAAGATTAAGATTCATACAATTTCCGAGAATATTCGCTCGTAAAATAATATAATCAACCCGGTTGGAATTCGAACTCGGTTCTCTTATTAACAGTTCCGTGCAATTATCCATTACACCATATGCCTAGCCAAGCTTACAGCTCGTGACATTCCCCGGCCGCCAACTATCTAGATACTGACCATGCTTAAGTTTGGCTAACATAAATGATCGTTCGGGAGCCGGTGTTTTAGCAATGGACTGGTGTACACTATTTACATTATTCGGACTATTGTTCTCATCTTTGTCGCCATATTTATTACAAAGTTTCAGCCATTGTACGCTCTGTTCTTCTTCAGGTGGTTGGAATATCGAACTGAATCCTTTATTTCGCTCACTGTAGTAGACTGTTCTAGTTCCATGTGCCATGTTTAATGGATGTCAATTATCAGTTATCTCCTGTTAAATCCCAACTCCAAGTTCTCCACCGCCTTAACCAGGTATTATCCTTAGAGACACATGGCACAGTGGATAAAGGGGATGGTTACATCCAGTAACAGGACCCAAAGAGTGTGATATTACGTGAATATTTGCGCATTTTATGAATGTTAGCAGAAAAAAGAACATGGATGATACATTCTCTTTGCTTACTAAGATTCCTTGAAGGCGAAGCTCACTAATTGTAATAAATATTGTGTTGTGGTAGGATCCACCTAATTTGCATAGTGGAGTACCGACCATATAAATATGGTTGGTACCGGGAAGAGAGGGAGGAATCAAGAGATTCAACCAGGGACTCTGCCCGACTGCGACTTAGTCAACACATTCTCCAGGAACGGTCTTACCAGGAATATACAAGAGACTATATGTAAATATTGTGTACACTTTCTTGTTTCAATACATTTTGTTCTAAGTACATTTTGTGTTGCATTATTATTCCATGCATTAGTCAAGTTTCAACAGATTGTTTAAACAAAGAGAAATTTGTTTTCATTTCAAATAAAAATATAAAATAATTAGGGTAGTTATAATCGATCCGAAAGTAAAGACAGATTAAATGATCCCAAATAGAAAAATGAGCTCTCCTGACAAACCTCAAAATGTATTGTCCTACCAACTAACTACATCACAACTGCAATTGAAAGAACGTATCTAAACTGATTTTTTTTTTACTACATCATCTAAAACATTAAAAGTTTCAGTCGATACTAAAAAAATAAGATAAAACTTGAAGGAGGAATTTCCTCAACAGCCTGTAATAACTGTCACACAAATACATAGGAGAAACCTCAAGGAATTTAAATAAAATACTACATGAACATACAGGAAGATTTTGCAAAAAAAATTATCAAATCTATTAACTGCTCACCGTAACGAGACTGACCGCAATTTTGACATATCAAATGATACTCTGATCAAATGTGAAAAACAATTCACGGAGATGAAAATGTCTAGAGTGTGTCTTGATCGCAAGATCATTAACAGTAAATGTGTGTCCTGAGTCTTACAAAATTTCGGCGTTCTTTGCAGATCTTCGATTATCAATGCGGGATATCTAATAACACATTTGATGGAAACAAGATTAAAGGAAACAGAATCTAAATGAAATCGGTTCAATAATAGATTAAAAAAAATAAAAATAAATTCCCAGTATTTCCCGTTCGTGCACATGTATAGTCGCATCAGCGAAAGAGATTTAGTCCGATGAAGTTCTAAACGATGAAACATTATACACGAAAACCTTTTTCATTTTGCCATACGTCTTTTCCTTATATAGTTCTTAACGTATACACATTTATATCTATCTATCTATCTATCTATCTATCTATCTATCTATCTATCTATCTATCTCAGCCTATACATATCTATCTATCTATCTATCTATCTATCTATCTATCTATCTATCTATCTCAGCCTATTCGTATCTATCTATCTATCTATATATATATCTATCTATCTATCTCAGCCTGTTCATTATTATTTATTTATTTCTCTATTGAAGAAAAAATTCATGAAGTAAAAAATCAGTAGACACTTAAACTTAACTCACATTTGAAATCAGTACAATTTATTGGAACACCCTTTATATATATATATATATATATATATATATATATATATGTGTGTGTGTTTAAGATTTCGGTACTAAATTCTCTGCTTTGAATATTTTATTCAAGACGCTGAAAACTATTCTTTTAAAAAACTGAAAAAATATCTTATAATATTTTGATTGATGGTTTAATATTTTTTAAAAACAAGATACATAATAACATTGTCTTATAGATATTTTCAATATTAAAACATATCTACGCCATCGCCTGCGATGAAATATTATTTTATTTTAGACGGTTTTATTTACATTGTTGTTGTGTCGGCCGATTATTGGTTATCCAGATAACCTTCAGGGAATTTCAAACTGAACTATTTATTTATTTATTTATCAATGCTCTGCATGCCTGATGTGTTGTGATAACAAAAAAAAAAAAAAAAAAAAAAGAGAAAAATGACGAGGATAATTCTTCACATATAAGTAATGATATATAGTCTAGTCTTTATTTACTTCTGCTCAGTTATCAGCCGCACCATTTTCACTGAGTCCGAAGGGTTTGATCCCGCAATTGCTGTTTTACATTCAAGAGGAAATGCCGTCCTTGGTAAGACGATAAACTACATCCGGCAGTAAGGCTTCTGATCAGGTGGTTTTGAGGAGCGTTGAACCACCTCTTAATTATTGTTCCCAGGACCAGCCGGTACTAGGGCGGTAGCACCTATTAGCTTCCCAGCTATGGGCAAATAGTTAACCTCCAAACTGAGGCCAAAACACTATAAAAGAATAAGAATAGATTTTTTAGAGAACAAATACCAGCATTACAATGTTTGAAAACAAATTACCAACAATGGATTTTATCTGTAGTTAAAATCATACACATGTCTTCGAAATATTTAGATTTCGACATTAAATAACCCATAGAGGTTGATATGACGCTAAACAAATTTACCAAACTACCAAACCAAAATAAGTGTGTAGTACCAACAGGATCGTTTATGTCATTCATCCGACATTATTTACGTTTACTGACTGAGGGATAATACTGTAATTTCATTTGTTCGAATGCTCCATCCAGGATCATTGTCTCGGAACAAGCCGAAATAGAAACACATATATAGCGAAATAGACTTACGTGTTTGCTGTGGGAGAATTTGTCAACGATTTCTTCCAACAATGCAAATATCCATGAAATGAAAACATTTACCTAAAAGCTTTTTAAAAAGGCTCATCACACCGTGACTTTCATGGTGACATTATTCAAGATCCTAAACTCGTTCAGAATTATCTAAAATGTCCGCCATGTATATTTTTTTTCAGAATCATCATTAAATATGTAGTCAGGTGATGGAAGAATGGAGGTCAAAAAACCCTCTTTTTTGAACATTGTGAACCAGTGCTACAGAATCACAAACCATAAACTGTACTAAATAAGAGAAAAGATTCCACTCGAGGAATGTCAACAGCGGTAACAACTAAAATGGAGAGCACATGTAAATCAAAGAGAAAATAATTACATAAGCAGATGACATCATATTCACATTAATTAAAACTAATTTTAAGAACTAATTTTCCTTTTATACTGGAAAGATCGATAACTGTTAGTGGTTTTGCTGTTCATGGAAATTCATTTTTCAAGAAGGTTTTAATAAGATTAAACCAAAATTAGCATTGGCTGCTCGGCAAAAATGAATCAGGAAACGTATGATATTACGATTACACATAGACGAAAATTGAGATGGAAGGTTTTAAAATAAAATATATTCGAAATTATTTATGTCAAGATACATAGGGAAATTATTATTTCTTTTATCGCTTTCCGTTTAGGAAAGTAAACCTGTATTTGTAACAGTTTTATAAAGGACAATGGACATTTACTGAGGATAAAAACCTGCAATGAGAAAACGAGAAAATACAAGCAGGAATTTACCGGTAGGTCTGCGCCATGGGATGATCGATAAACTTAGTTGTCGACATCCGGGGAACAGCTAGTCTACATTAAATTTGTAATTATCGATGGTTTGTTGATTGGCGTGCAGTGTAATGGGTTGCATCTCGGGATTAGTAACCGGAAAGCCGACTTAGATTTCCAATCGTGTTCGTTATATTCTCTTTTTCTTTTTAAGCGTTTCACTCGAAGCAAGGCGGGAAGCCACTAGCACGCAAGGGGTTACAGAGAGTTGGAGCTAGAACAAATAGGAGTGATAGAGGAAAGGATGAAGTGAAGGACAGAGGATAGATCATGGCATCTGGAAACGTCGATTCATATTACATTTGAATAGTTGGAGATTATAGCTCTCAGAAAAACAAGAAATGGGGCGAGAGTTCCACAGGCGTGAGGTGCGAAACATTGGAGTAGAAGAGACGGCTACATTTAACAGTTTCGACAGTGAAAGGGTGTGAGCGTGATGCCAGCCTACTAGAACTCTTAAATTCATCAAGTTTGGGAACCAGCGAAAGCAGCTCCTCAGAGCAGTTACCACAAAAGTATTTGTAAAAAAGACAGAGGGAGGTGACGGCACGTCTGTGAGATAGCGACTGCAGACGTGATACCGGATCAAATACTCTTGGGAAACATATGGATCAATCATATATTTGCCCCATTTATGGGATAAATAGCAACAGAGTCCGTGTTTGATAGCCTTTGTTGGTAACCATTGTTGAGCTGGCGACTCAAATAACGCATGCCCAGCAAATCTGTGTTATTTCCGGTTTTTCAACGGTTCGCGGAAACGCACAGCTACTGGAATTCTTAAGTCGTATGTGCCTGCGCATTCTCTCGTAGGCGGGGAAAGCGTTTATTTTTTTTTATCAATGTTTTCTTAGGTTATCGCTTTTATCTACTTGACCATTGATGTTCGTCATTATCCCTCGCTAATATGTTGCTGATACACCGTTTCCACCTGGTGCTATTGATTCCAGAACGTTCAGAATTCTGTAGGTTCTAGAACTTAGAATTCTGTACGTTCTAGAACTTTCAGAATTCTGTAGGTTCTAGAACTTTTAGAATTGTGTGGGTTCTAGAACTTTTAGAATTCTGTAGGTTCTAGAACTTTTAGAATTCTGTAGGTTCTAGAACATTTAGAATTCTGTAGGTTCTAGAACTTTTAGAATTGTGTGGGTTCTTTTAATGCCACACAACAAATATGGGTAAAACACTGCGGTTGATAATTGGCAGGAATATATAGTAAATAATTTCCTTGTGGAACTAATATTTCTTCGATGGATATATTTTGGGAGAAAAATACTAATGGGAATAAGTTGATAATGGAAACATTGAAGTTTTCGTCAAACAAAATAGATTCAAAAAGCATATTTGTGAATTTCATGATATAGTAATTGTCAGTTCAATACCTCTGCTGGGAAAGGCAGACTTAAACTCATTGGAAACGTGAAAAGGACTAAACAAGAACAAAAAGAAATATCCCTTGACATGGATAGATGTAGAACTATTTACATTGTAGAATGAATATTACGTTCAGTTCAAAATACACTAAAAGCTACCCGTCTAGACAACCACATCTTGGAATATACAGACGTAAAAATTTAAATCTTCCTTATTGGCTTAACAAACTAACATGAAAGTATAGAAAAGATTTGTTTATATACACACACTCATATATATATTTAATCATCCACATACAAGAATGTTTCGCTATATATTCAAAAGATTTGACTGAATTCACACACACACGTGTGCGTGTGTGTGCGTGTGTGTTTACATACACGCATAAATATTTAATAATCCACATACAAGAATGTTTCGCTATATCACAGTTCATCAGTGTGTCTAGACATTCGACCGCTTCAAGACGGGAAATCTGAGAGAGCCTATTCCAAAGCTATCGGCGCACGACAGAGAAGCGGAAATTTTAACGTATTATATACGGATGTAAACAAAAGCCAGCAGCCAGATGGCTCAATTCCTCAATGAAGAGCTGTGCGTTAATAGTGGCGGCGGCTACTGTTTTTTAAACTAGCCTTTTGTCCCGAGTACTCGATCGAATAACGAGAGCGTAATATATATATATTTATAAGCAGTAAATTCAACCTTGTCAACTGAACGCTCTTTTGTGGCCGAGAGGTTAGGCACGTCAGCGTAAATGACGGTTCCGTATAGGATGCAGGTTCGAATCATGTCTATGAAAATTTCTCGGACATTCAGGTCGGTAAATGTTATTTAATACTGTTTATTATAAACAGAGCATTTACTTAAATACTTGTATCTCTAAAAAGAACGTTAAACATAAAAATGTCTTTAATAAATAAATTGTCGGACTTTGTCCATTTTTTAATATATATATATATGGAAAATTTTATTGTTGTTCCAACGAGAGAAAAATGTATATTTTTAATAGAGAAACCGCAAACGTTTTTGGTTATAATGCGAATTTGCTTTAGTATACATATTATATTCATATTTCTGTTACACCAGTTTCTGGTCTCGTGACTCTTCTTGCAAATAAAAGGAATAAATATCTAAAAGGAATACATTTTTCTCATGTCCTTTTATTGTCTCATTGTTCGTTTTTTGTATTTGTTAGTGAGCCGTGAACATCTTTCTGTGCTGTTGGCAACAGTGAATTTTTGCATAAATGTTAATAAAACCATTACGTTTGGTTATATGCATATAGACATACACATCCCTCTTACACACAGTCTTTCTGTGTTCGTGTGTTTACCCGTGAGTAGACTATCTGTTATTACCTGTGTATGTATAAATATTTTTTTTCTCTTTGAATACCTGTATGCCCGCGCGTACGTGTATATATATGTGCGGTCCGACGAGTGTCTCTGGTCATTATGTATGCGTTCTGTGTGTCCATGTGTGTGTTGTTATGATCTGTTCATTGCTGGTTTAAATTTGTCTATGAAGTTTTTTTTTTTCTTTTTCCTGAAATTGTATTTGTCTGTTTGGTATA